TGCTAATGGACCTTTTGCTGAATTCAATTTATTGAAAACCAAGAAATCAGATATTTTTGAAGAGATTAAAGCTTTATTTATTTTAGTGTTAACACCACCTCCTTTGGATCACAAAAGACAAGAGTATCTTTATCATAATATTCGCCCATTTGTTAGGGATGAATTCAAAGACATAAGTTGTCCCAAACCAATCTATACTGATAATGAATAAAAATATTTCAATCAACTGCAAATTTTATTACTTTATTAGTTTTTATTAAATTCTTTATATTTAATCTTTTAATGATATTAATATTAAAATATAATATAGGAAGTGAAATCATGACATTCAATAAAAATGATATAAATACAATAGATGAAGCAAAAGGATACTCCAATTATTATGGCGGTAAATTAAAAGGAATCCGAGGAGGAAAAACTGCTAAAATATTTGAAAGTTCCAAATTAAATGATAGAGATGGAAAACTAGATAAAACTAAACTTCAAGATTTAGCAGAGTTCCTAAACATTTATAAAACTGCTAAAGCCAAAGCAAAAAATATCAACAATTCAGTTGCTGATTGAATTTCTTTATTAAGCAGGTTACAAAAAGAAAGGAGAAATAATTCAGACCTTTATCAACTAGTTAATAGTCTGGGTCGTGGAAATAAGGTTGACCTAGTGGTAGAAATATTAGAAGACTGTTTGTTCCAAGAAGTAGGTGACATTAGCCCTAACAAAGAGATTGAATTTAAAGCATTGCTTGGAGTTTTGGGGAATGTAAATCAACAAGCTCAAACTAAAGATAAAGAGATAAAAGAACTCGCAGAGAAGTGTTCTCCTGAAAAAGAGCAAAAAGCAATTGATTATCTTGGCAAAGTTAAAAATGCTATTTCTGCTTTAAAAGAAGATTTGAGAGATAATACCAAGATTAGTTATAAGATTTTGGATACAATAATTAGTTATACAAAAGAAACTTGTGATAATATTTTCACCACAACTGCAGCAAATTCTCTAATAAGAACTGGTTATGATGATACTGGTATTCCTTTAACTCAATCACTCTTTTTAACTCGTGATTTGCCACAACAGTTTATTGCTCTTTTCAAAAAATTTGATAAAGGTCAGTTATTTTCAGCTATTGAGGCTACTAATTGGTCTTCTGATGAGAAGAAAGAAATCAAGGATACTTATGAGAGAATGATGACTTGAACTTTTCAAAGGTCATGAAATTTTAAAATTGAGAAAACTGACAAAGGAAAAAGACTTAAAGAAAGATTTGAGCAAGAAAAGTTTGATGAGGAGGAAGCTAGAAAAAAAGAAAGAGATTACATCTTTGTTAGTGATGTTTGCAAGTTCATGCATGCTCTTTTTCCCCAAGATGACAATTACAAAAATAGCCCTTTCATCCAAGAGGGTACTGCTAGTTGCTTAGAATTAGTTGGTTCAGATAACTTAAACACTAAATTTCCTATTTATTGAAGAGGAAGAGATAATAGTGTTATTGGAGAAGTTTATGCAGGTGGATCTCTGTTTGATGCCAATTTTACTGCTGAAAAATTAGATTTACATTGAGCTAATGGTGAACTAGCTGAGTTCTTTTGAAAAGTTTATAATGATACTGATTGTGTGAAATTTAATTCACATGATGAAGTAATAAGCAAAGATGGAAACACAAAGCGACTAATTCGGAGTGAACCAATCTCAGATTATGAAGCCAAAATACTTACTTATCAGAAGCGTCATCGTTTAGTTGATGCTATGGCATGCTCTTATTTAGAAAGAGCAATTGAGATAATTGAAGCCAATGGAATTAATTATAAGGAGCGTTCTCATGAATGAAAGCCAATTATTAGGAAAATTTCTGAGTCTGCTATTAAAACTTGGGAACCTCTCATGCGACAAGCCAAGGGATTTGCTTCACATAAAGAGATGGTGGATGCTTCTAAAAAAACTGGTTGGGATACCAATGCTACTCAATACATTGAATATGACAAAAAAACCATTACTACTGATGTAATCAATAAGTATGATGAAATGAAACCAATAGCACAAGCTCAAATTGATGCTTTTACTTCCCTGAAAGGTGAATGAGGTAAGAAATTAGAAGAAAGAAAAGAAATTACTATTGCAGAAAATAAGGCTCAACAAAAGTTAGATGATTTTGAAAACCAAATCAAAACTCTTTGCAATAATAATCTGGTAGAAGTTAGAAAACAATTCAAAGTAGTTTATGAACAGTCTCCTGTAGGTGATCAAAAGTATAGTTGTGCAGATTTAATCTTCATGAATTGTTTATTAGATTGAATTGAGAAAAAAGAAAATGAGCCTGAATTTTTTGTTGATTCCACCTTTACTACTCAAATCTATAGAACTGATTTGGAGAACTGAGAAAAAGCAAACTCAGGTGAACTTCCTAAATATACCTCTTGAAAGGAATTGGATGAAAATGGTTTTATTGGAAGACTACAGTCTTGAAAGAGAGTCACCCCTAGTGGGGGGATTTTTGGTGAAGAGACTTTATGAAACTACTTATTAGCTGTTAAAAATGAACTAAATAATTTCACTTTTCGAGAGTTAAGTGTGGAAGAAAAGTCAGAACTAGAACAAATCAAAGCATATTTAAGTAAACCAATAAAAAAAAGAATTACTAATGGTCAACTTCGCCAAGCTCTTGGTATTGACATTATCCCTACCAGTCTGGTTTATGAATGGGGAGATATAGAAGGTTCAGATAAGTTTTTCTCAAATGCTAGTGCAATCAAAAATGTTGCAGATAAAGTCAATAACCTTTCTAATAAAAGTAGTTTTTTAGTTTATTTAGAAAATAATCTAGCCAATGATGCTAATTTACCTATTTATCCAAAAGGCAGTGGGGAGAATAAAGAGTTAACTTGGTTTTTCACTCAAAAGCCTAAGACAGTAATTCAAACCATTGTCAATTATTCACTGGAAAATCCTGCTGAAAAAGAAAAGATAAAAAGTGAAATGGAAGGTAAAATGGACTCTAATGATAATAAAAAAGTATTAGACAGAAGGGTTTATGGAAATGGCACTGAATTCACTGAAGCAGGAATAAGAAAATATCTTTTTGAGAAAGAAGTTGGTCTTACTCATAGTTTCTCTAAGAATGAACCTAAAAAGAAGGAACTACTTCCTGCTAAATCTTTCTGAAGGACTAATAATCCTTCTGCTTGAGTGGCTTTTGGAGGAATTCTCTTCCTCTTAGCTAGTCTAGGTTGAGTGATTTGAAAAAGAAGACTCCTCGCTAAATGATGAGAAGGTCCAGCAGAACTAGAAGAAGAGGATGATGAAGATGATGATTAATAATGATTTGATTGTTTATTCTGCCAGTCTTCTTTTCTTTCTTGGTTCATCATGAGCTGATGTTAAGGTTCATTTATTGCTTATTATTTTTTGTTCTTGTTGGTAAATTTCATAAGTAATCCTTTCTTTTCTTAGATAAGTTTCTAGTGTTTGAGTATCATTTATTTTGAAAATGTAAGGAGCAATTTTTTCACCTTGTTCCTTTTTTAGAATACTTCTGATAGTACTATAATTCTTGGGTTCCATAGTAGATCTGATGTAAATTAACTTCATATTAACTATTTTTATATAGGAGTAATTCTATATATCACTTAATATTAAACAAATGGGAAATTTTAATAATCACATTACAAATTTTGATCCCTGAAATTCTTGGTAATACCAATGTTCACTTTGTCTGGTTTTGTTGCAGTCTGCCCCATATAATAATAACGGAAAGCCCAATTTACATACATGCCTATATCAAATATATAAATTACTATTATCTATAACAGACACTTTTTCCTAAACCAAATGGTCCATTATAAAGAAAAAAATTAATATAATAAATATTTTCTAGATGTTAAATTAAAAATTTTTAATTTTAAAATGAATTACTTTGAACTGGGTTGGGCTCTTTGTGAAAACAAAATTTTTGGAAGTAAAACAACTTCTAAGAGCCTATTTTTTGTCAGGAAATGTAGACAAGAAATGCTTACAGATCTAAAACAAAGAGTAGAAGCAGGTAAGTTGGATGCAAATGAGTAACACATTTTAGTAGAGAATGTAAAAAAGAATCAGCTGAGAAAGAATTAGACGAACCATTATTTTGTATTATGTTGATTTTATACACATAATCCCCCAATCAAGATTGAAATAGTGCAAAAACGGCTTTAACAAAAAAAATTTTTTTTTGATAAAAATGTTCATAACAGTCTGTTTATTGATATCCAAATGTTTGTTTTACAAAAATGCAAGTGGAAACATCATTTACTGGATGATTTTTACTAAAAAATGTTACAAATGCGCCCCGCCGATCACGAATTAAATTTAATTTAGATAATAAACAAGTTTTTAAACGAAAACGTGACGGTGAGCTTCGTTTCTTTTACTCACACAACGACATCACTCAGGTCAAGACAGTAGTCTATTTTATTAATTCAAAAAATACAAATAGGACGGCCGTCCTCACATTTTTTTTTTCGTTTTTTTCGTAGAGAAATTCCTCTCAGGCCATACCAGCGCACGGAACTCAACTTTCTACGACGTCCCTGTCCATCTTCAAGCAATCAAGTTTACAGATAGTGAGCACATTCAAACCATAAAATCATTTATCATTATACAACGTTATACAAGATGGTCAAAAAATAAAAATACCACTGCGCCGAGTGTTTCATAGCATTATAATAATAAAAATACATGATTCAATTGATTCAATCATTTACATATAATAATAACAGGAGAGACCGTTCTGGTAACACAAAATTTTAACCTACGCAATTGTTGATCGACCAATCAAAATCGTGAATTTGATAACGCAAAAATAAACGTTAATATAAAACATTGATTCATTTTGTCAACAATCACTTCACCAACAGTTGTTTCGTTAACAAATGGTTCGAATTTGAGAAGTTGGAAGCAATCATTTGAAATAGTCTAATAAGTTAAATCGTACTACTCGAAAATGTATTTAAAGGGTTGGTTTTCGACTTGGTTGAAGAATAACTCTCTTCCTGATCATATCTCTCGATATAATCAAAATAACCTTAATATAACGAATGTCAAAATGATTGTAAACGTGACCAATTTAAGATATACAATCAAGAGAAAACATGAACGATGTATGAGAAAATCAAACAAATTTATTTAATAAAACAAAATTTACAACTCAAAAAATTTTTTTTTGTAATAAAATTCCATTATTAACTATTAACAATCCAATTATATAGATATTGAACCAACCAAGCCCGCTTATATAGTTATTGAATAATTGATAACAATAAAACATTAATTAAATATATTTTACAAACTGCTTCGTAGATCTCGACTTTAAGACTTACTTTGATCAAACCTGCCTATAACAATAAACGTTCATTTTGGAAACTTGATTTGCAAATAGATCTTGACTTTAACACTTACTTCTACCAAGCCCGCCTATATAATTACTTGAATAATTGATAAAGCGTTCATTAAATATATTTTACAAACAGATTCATAGATCTTGACTTTTAACACTTATTCCGATACAAGCTATTCAATATTTGATAAACGTTCATCAGTATATTTTACAAACTTGCTTTGGAAGCTTCGTATGTCGTCATACATCTTGTATTTAACAGTTTACTTTTTCTGTTTAATTTTATTTTTTATAGATTCGATGGACCATGTTATTGTAGGCGGAGTTCATTCTGAATGCTTTGTAGTTGACCTCCACATATTCGTGTTCTTCTACACGGCACACAGCCACCCCAATCACCGTATGTGTCCCACTGGCTGGCTTGATGAATATGGTTGACGACAAGATAGACGACATAGCAAATAATCAAAATTAAAGAAATACTATGCAAAAAGCAAGCAAGTAAAAAAGATTCGAAAGGCGAATTGGTTAGTTTTTTATTCATTTTTATTTATTTATACATCCCATATCAAAGGTCAATTTGATCGTTCAGATGTTTTTTTCAAGCCTACATCACCACAGAAGGATAAACTTTACAAATTTGATTGTTTTTTTAAAAAAAAAATCTTTTGTTTTGATCTTTTCTTTGTATTCATTTATTTTTATCCCAACTAAAGGTCAATTTGATCGATCAGATGTTTTTTTCAAGCCTACATCGCCATAAAAGAATAAATTACAATTGTTAAAAAAATCAACTAAGCTTTTTTTTCCTAATTAAAAGAAAAAAAGTTCCTTCGCAAAGAAGAACCCTCGTGTGAATCAAAAGCCATTTGCGAATTTCGATTGTTAAAATCTTTCGTCCTGATCTTTTCTTCGTGTTTTTTTTTCATCTATCGCTATAGAAGAATAAGCTTCATGCAAACATCAAATGTCATTTACAAGTTTCGATTGTTTTAAAAAAAATCAACAACTTTTTTTTTCTTAACCAAAAGGAAATCAGACCATCCACTATCCTTCAAATGGTCAAAATCAATCAAGTTTCTTATCCAGATCACCCACTATCTCTCTCAAATGGTCAAAATCCAAAAAAAAATTTAATTCAACACGAACAATCAAAAAAAGTTTGCACAAATTGTTTGTTTATCGATCATTTTTTTTTAAATTGACAACGAAATAAACCGTTTTTGAACCCCGGTCTCGTGACCAGAAAATATCACTAACACGTTGTGTGACAAGCCTTTGACGGTCCGAGATAAAGGTTCCAAGACAAGACCATCAGTTTTTGGTCATTTTGAACGGTCCGAAACGTCGAAGAAAGGCGAAGACCTAATGGTAGACAGCGGTCGACATCACGCAAAAAAATCTAAAGCGAAGCATGATTTCCTTTCAGTCAAATATATGTTTCGCTCAACCCTAACGTTTTGAACCAAAACAGATAACAATTGGAATTTCACACGGTACTGTGACGTAAAATAACCATAAACGTTTATCATTTTTTTGGAAAACGAAAATATTTCTGTTCAAATTTCAATTTTTATTAATTAATTAACAAAATTTCAAATCAATTTCAAGCCAGCGCAGCAAAGAAAAAAAAACGACTTATCACAAAGTTTTACCCTTTGACTTTTGATCTCATCCCTCCCAAAAATTCAGTTTACTAAAGTTGAGAAACAGGATGTTTAGAATATTCGTGCTGATTCGTGCTGATTCGTATCGTAACTGAACTGAATATTCTTTACAAATGAATGATTTCCCGTGCAACCAAACATTTCAAAATTGGGTAAGGTCGTTAAATTAGGGAAACATACAAAAAATACTGACAACATTTAGTAGGGCACCGTAACACGGAACCTTTTCTATTTTATATATGTTAAAAAACACCAAGTCGAGTTTATTTCATATTAATATATTTTTATATAATGTCACACACTAAACTATTATCATCGTTATCACCAGAAAGAAAGGAATTTGTATATAAAATTAATGCTGAAATGTGTAATAATGCAGTGATTAATAAATCTGGTAGAGAAAGTAGAAAAGATTATTTTTTTTCATTAGTCAAAAAAAACAAGGAGCTTTCTGAAAATGAAAAAGATTATTGCAGGGAAGACTTGATTTATAATTTTGAATTAATAAATGCAAAAGATAAATTGGGAAAACCAAAAGAATGTAACAAGTGTAAATTGACAAGATACTCTGATAGGTTCTGTGAAGGTTGTATTAGTTTACAATTACAGAGTCTTTTCACCACTTGGACATCTGGAAATAACATAGTTGACAACTTTATTCAACAATGTCAAATGAAATCATCTCTGCCTAATTGTATTTTAGAATGGATACCTTTTGAGCAATTTGAAGATATAACAAAATTAACTGAAGGTGGACTTAGTTCAATTTATAAAGCTACATGGACAAGAGGAAGTATTGATGATTATGATGAAGATAAAAAAGAATTAAGTTATTTAAGAGAAGGACAACTAGTAGTATTAAAAAGTTTAAATGAT